TTATGAATAGATAATTATACCTCGAATAGAACATCTAGGAGAGAACACTAGAATTCAACAGAGAAGTCATGGGAAACACCTGAGGCATAGAAGCAGCAGGAATCAAGTGACCAGCTTGGCTGAGATTGGCCAGGAGACCAGAGGGCCTTGGCATTTCAGGGAAAGGGCAAATGAGAGAACTTCAGCAGTCCACATCCCTCCTGCAAACTGCGGCAATCTGAAACATGAGAGAGTTTCTCTACCCATACAAACTCTGGCACCAGTATGGGTGGTGATTTGGAGACCCCACAAGGGTATTTCATGAGACAGGAAACTCACGCTGGGTCTCTCAGGTCCCCAAGACCTAAGCGGCACCATTGTGAGACTATAGTCATGGAATTGTGTCCTATCCTGGGAACCACAGCCCCCGTATCTCCATATCCCAGGAGCCCCCAGTGATATTTCCCAGTGTCCACCCAGTGAGCTGCAGTGACATAGCACTGGCTAGACCCAAAGGTAATACAGGGTCCGCAGCACCCCAGCCCACAGGGAGTACTACTCCCCAGGGAAAGAATGGTGCAATGTGCCAAAAAGACAGCCCCTGATACAAAGGAAACCAAAACATGTCCTTTCCAGAGTCCCCTGTTTGGGGCTGTGAGAAGTGACCCTACACTTAGCAGCACCACAAACTCTGTACTCGGCCTCACAAGTGGATAGTAAGATACCCTCCCACTGGTGCTTGGGCTTACATGTAGAGAGCGGAACCCCTTCTTGCCCTCCACACACTGCTGCAGGCACAGCCACTGATGCTACTACCAGAGAGGCTGGGGCAGGGAAACCAGAGGGCTGCCTGTCTGGTGCTGTGAGTGGTGACTGCACCCCCACTGGACGCATGGCCTCTGTGCCTAGGCTCACACATAAAGAACAGGGTCTCTCCTCTCTCTGTACAGTGCTGCGGGGTTGCTGTTATAGAGAATGAAAGAGCCTGAGAGCTGTGTGTCTGGGGCTATAGGTGGCAACCCTGCACCACAGCCACTGCCAACATCAGTGTGCACTTATCAGAACCCAAGGGGTTGTCCCACCGTTGGCTACTGCCATTGTCTAGATCACATCAGTTGCCCAGGGACTTGAGAACCCAGTCACCCACCTAGCCCACTGCTGCAACTACCAGCATCTGAGCAAGCTATCTGGGGGCCCAGGAATTAGCCTACTTGGTCCCACTAACACCAGTGCCAGTGTATGTTGTTCTGGGGCCCAAGTTCAGACATCCTCAACCCACTGCTGCCACCACTGGGGACTGAAGACTGGCCCACATGGCAACCATGTTCCCAGTAAAATATCACGATAGCCTCCACTGATAACCCCACCCTAAACCATCAAGGAAATAACATATATCACTGATCACAGCCAAATAAATTTTACAGAGACTACACTACCATGTACATTCAGAATCAAAGTCAAATTGCCTTACTCAACCAATATTGTTGATATATCTTCAGGAAAAAGTCCTCCCCTACAAAAGCAAATTCAAAAACTGAAAGAAGTGACTATTATACTAGATGCTCAGATATCAGTGAAAGGACACAGGAAGCATGTAAAAGCAAGGAAATATGATACCTTCAAAGGAATACAATTCCCCAGCAACAGATCCCAATCAAAAAGAAACCTAGGAAACCCAGGAAAAACAATTCAAAATTATGATACTAAGTACGGTGGCTCACACCTGTAATCCCAGCACTTTGGGAGGCCGAGGTGGGCATATCACCTGAGGTCAGGAGTTCGAGACCAGCCTGGCCAACACAGTGAATCCCCGTCTCTACTAAAATTACAAAAATTAGCTAGGCATGGTGGCACATGCCTGTAATCCCAGCTTGGGAGGCTGAGGAAGGAGAATCACTTGAACCTGGGAGTCAGAGGTTGCAGTGAGCAGAGATTGCACCACTGCACTCCAGCCTGGGCCACAGAGTGAGACTTCATCTCAAAAAAAAAAAAAAAAAAAATATATATATATATATATACACACATATACACACACACATATATGTATATATGTGTGTGTGTGTGTGTGTGTATATATATATAATACTAAAGAATCTCAGCAAGATACAAGAGAATTCCAAATCCAATACAATTCAAACAATACACAGATATCAGAGAAACAATTCAGGATATGAATGAGAAATGTGCCAAAGAAATAGATATCACAAAAATAACCAGACTGAAATTCTGAAACTGAAGAATTTGAATGAAATACAAAATATACAAAAAGTTTCAACAATAGACTAGACCAAGCAGAAGAGAGAACATCAGAACTTGAAGAAAGGTCTTTCGAAATAACCCAATAAGACAAAAATAAAGAAAAAATAATAATTAAAAAGTATGAACAAAGTCTTCATGATCTATGGGACACTGTAAGGTGACCAAATATATGAATTATCAGTATCCCAAAAGACAAAGAGAAACTGAAAGGGTTTGAAAACCTATATAATGAAATAATAGATGAGAACTTCCCAAGTCTAGTAAGAGATTTAGACATCCAGATACAGGAGGTCCAGCAATCCCCAATCAGATACAGTGCAAAAACGTCTTCTCCATGGCACATTATAATCAGACTATCTAAATTCAGTGACAAAAAGAAAATGTTAAAGACGGCAAAGGAAAAGCATCTCGTCACCTACAAAGGAGCTCTGGTATACGTGACCAACAGGCATATAAAAAAATACTCAACATCACTCAACTCCAAGGAAATGCAAAAAATCACAACGAGATATCATCTAATCCCGGTTAGTATGGCTATTATTAAAAAAATAATAATAACAAATGCTGGCAATGATGCGGGGAAAGGGAACTCTTACACACCGTTGGTAGGAATGTAAATTAGTATAGTCATTATGGAAAACAGTATGGAAAGCTGTCAAAAAAACTAAAAATAGAATTTTCATGAGACCCAGCAATCACACTAGTGGGTATCTATCCAAAGGAAAAAATATGAGTAAGTCAGTAAATCAAAAGGATACCTGCACTCACATGTTCATCACACCACTATTCATAATAGCAAAATATAAAATCAACATAGGTGCTCATCAGTGAACAAATGGATAAAGAAAATATTATTTATACACACAATGGAATATTATTCAGCCATGAAAGAGGAATGAAATAATGTAATTTGCAATGCAGTTGGAACTGGAGACCATTACATTAAATGCAGTAAGCCAGGCATAAAATGACAAAATACTGCACGTTCTCACTCAAATGTGGGAGCTGAAAAACTTTATCTCATGGACACTGAGAATAGAACAATGTCCCCCCTAGGAAGGGGAGTGGTGGGAAGATGAGAGTGAGGTTATGGGTACAAACATATCATTAAATAGAAAAAATGAGTTCTACTGTTTGATAGCAGACTAGGGTGACTATACTTAACAACAATATTATGTATATTTTAAAGTAACTAGAAGAGAGGACTTGAAATGATACCAACACATAAAAATGATGAAGACTGAAGGTGATGCATACCCCAATTACCCTGACTTGATCATTAAACATTCTTTGCATGTAACAAACAGTCACATGCAACCCATAAATATGTAAATTATTATACATCAATAAAAAGGGGGAAAATATTGTGCGGCTTGGGGAAGCCAAGAACATAAGGAGATGTTAGGAATTGTTTGGCTTAGGTCAGTGATCATGACGGATTGTTGAATGTCAGGGGAGATAAAGTTCTGGAAAGAGCAAACATTGAAATTTCCTCTGGCTGGGCGTAGTGGCTCACGCCTGTAATCCCAGCACTTTGGCAGGCCAAGACAGGCAGATCAACTGAGGTCAGGCGTTCGAGACCAGCCTGGCCAACATGGTGGAACTCCGTCTCTACTAAAAATACAAAAATCAGCCAGGCATGGTGGTGCGTGCCTGTAATCCCAGCTACTCGAGTGGCTGAGACAGGAGAATCACTTGAACTAGGGAAGTGGAGGTTGTAGTAAGTCAGGATCTTTCCACCGCACTCCAGCCTGAAAAAAAGAAAGTTTCCCCTCTGATCACTTTGGTTAACGATTTTAGATAATAATTATAATAGAAACTAACATTTACTTGTTACTGCCAGGCATTATTCTAAGGACATTTCATGTATTCTCTTATTTCATCCTCCTAACACCACAATGAACCAGTAGTGGTACTATTCCCAATTTACAAAACCAAAGCAGAGACGTTCAATAATTTTCCCCAGAGTTTCATAGCATAAAAGTGGGGGCTGATTTCAAATCCAGATAGACAGACATCACCACCCATGCTTCTAATCATGTATTCATTTATTCAACGACTACTTTTGGAATGCTTGTCACACCATGCAATGTGCAGGTAGTTTTGCAGGGACTGGAGATTCAGCAATGATTCAGACTAAAATCCCCTGACCTGTCGAGGCTAGATAACTGCTCCTTACAGTGGCCTGTGGATCATATTGGTATAAAGCAGAGCAAAGATGTGTTAATATGGTAATCACAAGGCAGAGTACTTTGTAAATATGTCCTTCTCCGAGTTGTGCTCCCGTGATGTCATCAACACATTCCACAAAGAGGAAGTTCTTCTAACTCACTACCCAGCGGGGCTTGGCTCTTACTCAAGAGCATTTTGGGGTGAAGATATCTAAGTTTACCAGACCTTGTGCAAATCTGAGATGAAGGACTACATTAAAAGTGAAATTCACCTTAGCAGGAAATGGGGTTTGCTATTCTGTGTATATCTTTAACAGTATCTGCTGAAAAGAACCCTTTTGTTAAATAATTGTATTACGAGTTCCCAACTTAGTCCTTTCGAATATGAAATAAGAGAGGGACCGTGCGCAAGAGCAATGCCCCCAGACCCATCTTTAAGTGAAGCGCCAGGCGGATAAAACATCCCTCTTCTGCTGCCTTCTTTCTCTGATCGCAACTCAGCTCCCGAGGAAAAAGAGTGCTCATTTCCCTGTAAAGAGTCCTGCCAATTTCACTTTCTAGTTTCACTTTCCCTTTTGCAACGTCAGCTGAAGGGAAACAAGCAGAAAGGAACCAGAGGCCAGTTGTATATATAGGTTTCTTCAGCATTTATTGGTGGCAGAAGAGGAAGATTTCTGAAGAGTGCAGCTGCCTGAACCGCAGCCCTGCCGAACAGCTGAGAATTGCACGGCAACCATGAGGTAAAGATTTTCCCTTCGTATCCGATAGTGCTGTTGAGTCATCTTGTCCAATGCAAATCCTGAGTAGCTATGCTTCCAGAGGGCCAGCTCCATTTTAATGTTTGTTTATGGCCTTACTATGCCTTTACCTCTGTCGGTTGTAAATCTGTCTTACCAATGCTGGTTTGTTCCCTCCTAAACAATCTTCTGCTTCACGCTGGCAAGCTTCCTAAATTCATCTCTGGAACTGCTCGCCTGGGGAGCTGAGTTGCAATCAGAGAAAGAAGGCAGCAGAGAGGGATGTTTCATCCCCCCGGCGCTTCACTTAAAGATGGGTCTGGGGGCATTGCTCTTGTGCACGGTCCCTCTCTTATTTCATATTGGAAAGGACTAAGTTGGGGGCTCATAATACAATTATTTAACAAAAGGTTTATTTTCAACAGATACTGTTAAAGATATACACAGAATAGCAAACCCCACTTCCTGCTAAGGTGAATTTTACTTTTAATGTAGTCTTTCATCTCAGATTTGCACAAAGGCTGGTAAGCTTAAATATTTTCACCCCAAAATGCTACTGATTGGTTAGAGTCCTCCTGAGTATGAATTAGAGATGGAGTGCTTGGAGAAAATAGTTCTCACCTCTAACATTCCCTTCTATCCCCAAAACATGAGACTGCCCTGGAGAGGAAGTGTTAGCTCATTGAGTAGGAAGGGAACTATTTTCTCCAGTTTGAGGGTGGGGTGGCCGGACCTGGTTGCCTCACCCTCATTCTGGGAGCTCTGGAATCCCGTGTTACCAACCCCAGTGCTTACTTCCTATGAGACACCTTGCCCTACTTCTGTGAGGTCCCTGATTTCTCTTCTTGAAACAATATTATTTCCTGCTAGTTTAAATGTTCTGCCTGATTTAAAAAAAAGAAAAAAGAAAAAAAAGATTTGTGATATTTACAGATTTTTTTGTTTGTAGTCACCCAGAATCTATAGAACCCTTTTCTTATTTGTTAGAATTTTAGCATGGTCTTAGAATTCTTCCCATTATGATACAGACCCATCCCTCCTTCTTGCTTTCCTTATTCTTTATCTATTGTGACTTTCACTGGGCATTGCTCTTGTGCTCTAAGACAGTGGTTCTCAAAATTGAGCATGCATAAAAATTGCCTGGCCAGCTTATTAAGGACAGAGTTCTAGGGTCAATTCCCCAGAGATTCTCATTAAGTGGGAGGGGGTGGAGTCTGAGGATGTGTGTTTCTAAAAGGTTCCTCCGTGATTCTAAGACGGCTCCAAGAAACTGTGGTGGTAGCGTTAGTTCTGAGCCTGGTTGATAATGTCACTGCTGCTTTTATCCAGATAAGAGGCAATGGAAGAAATTGTTGTTGTTGTGTATACAACTGGAACTTCTATAGGAATCAGGAGAATAGGTCCTCAGAAGCCAGAGCCCAGGAAGCAAGTGTCTGAGACCGACTTCTCTAACTTAACAGTGAAAATAAGAACCCAAAATCAAGCAGTGAAGTTGGATGCCTTTTAAATGGCTGCTCAAAGGGATTTTACATAAGTGTGTATATTAAATGTCTCTATCCTGCAAATGCACAATGGACTTTATGTTTTCTATGGTGGAGATAATCTCAATTCTATTTACTTTCTCTGTTTCTTTTGTAAAATGAGAAAGGAGCTAAGGAGTGTATGTGTTACACTCAATGTCAAACTCAAATGGAAGTTGGAAATGGAATTGAGAGGGAGCAAGGAAGCTAGAGTGAGTCTTCAGGTGTTAGGATGCGTGCTGCACATGCTTGGGATCTGAGAGTGGCCGTATTCTGTAGGACTCACCATATTCTGTAATGAATGCAGTACAGTAGAGAGTATGACACGGATGCACATGGAGAAAACACAGGGTCTGAGCCTTCCGAGCTCCCCAGTGTCCTGTTCTGATCCTCCTGGGGTCACTGCAGTTCTACCAATGGTCCTGCGAGGCACTCTAGGAACTTTAAATCAGTTCCTGCTCATCTCTGTTTCTTGGAACAAGTGGAGACTTAACTATCCCAAGCAGAATAAACAAACAAACAAACAAACAAAAATAGGATGGAAAATACGCAGGAGTTTGTAGGAAGGACCCGCCTTTCATTCAAAGCTCCAAATAGGTCTTAGCAAAGAGTCAGGTTGTCTAAGCCTCTTAATGTAACTAACCCCAGGGGCGGGAGCCCTGGGGAGTGCTTGACTTGGTATCAGGCATCCTAATGGCAGCAGCATTCCCGTTGAAAAGCTCATGTCCAAACAGATCTGTTTTTATTCTTAGTGAGGTTACAGGAAGATTCCCAATCAAAATGGGAGTGGGAAGGATTGGTATAAAAAGTAGGAGAGAGAGGGGCAGTTAGAAAGAGGGGTCACATAGGCCGGGTGCGGTGGCTCAAGCCTGTAATCCCAGCACTTTGGGAGGCCGAGACGGGCGGATCACGAGGTCAGGAGATCGAGACCATCCTGGTTAACACGGTGAAACCCCGTCTCTACTACAAAATACAAAAAACTAGCCGGGCGCGGTGGCAGGCGCCTGTAGTCCCAGCGGCTCCGGAGGCAGGAGAATGGCGTAAACCCGGGAGGCGGAGCTTGCAGTGAGCCGAGATCCGGCCACTGCACTGCAGCCTGCGCGACAGAGCGAGACTCCGTCTCAAAAAAAAAAAGAAAGAGAGGTCATATAATCTTCTATCTAGACATATATTTCAAAAGTGATCCTGCCACATTGCATGACATTCCAGATATCTATTGGTTGTATAAGAAGCCATACTATTTAGAAATATAGCATACTATTTAGAAATATATACAAGGGTTGCTGTACAGATACCACGAAAAAAAATTTAAGTAAGAAAAAGCAACATTACAGAGACTCCAATACACAGACAGTGTTGAGAAACAATTGGGGCGTGGAATGTTATTCATCTCCAAAGTAATTCGAAGTACAGGCTTTTGTTCATTTTTCTGTTTGCTGGTTTTTTTCGCTTGTTTTTTGTTGTTGTTTTGTTTTGTTTGTTTTGTTTTGTTTTTTGGTTTGGTTGGTTTTGGTTTATTTATTTCTTTTGAGGACCAACACTGAAAGGAATGGAAAATATTTCCAGGAGAGTCCTAAGGGTACCCTAAAGGAAAAAGAGCCCTTTCTATAAGAAAAGGGGCTAGTGGCCTTATGAGCCTTCCCTGTAGCTGCACTTCTTGCCCTTTGTTATAAAAGCAAAACGCAGAAGAGAAAAATAACATTTCAAAAAAATTAAAACAATCAAGTACAAAATTACTAATAGAGCAACTCAATGAGATGTATTAAGAACAGAAATCACCACTTTAAGAAGTAGAGGTATGGGGGTGGGGGAAAGGGAAAAAAATTACATTTTATTCCAAAATAAATGTTTAAGATATTGCTAACATAAATGATACTTGAAATTAAATGAGAGAATAATACAAAAGCAGATAAAATGAGTAAAAATTCAGAATGGTTGAAAATAAGATTCAAACAGTTAAAATGGAAAAATTCAACAGAAAAAAATGAAAATGTAGCATCGTAAAGTAATAAACCAATACAAAATAAAACCAATCTGATAAAAGCTCAGAAAGTTTGAATAGACAAAATAAATGAAGGATCTATTAAAAGCTGAAATAGAAAATCGAAAGTGGTCAAGATTTCTTTAAAGGCAAATGAAGGAAAACTAAGGAATTAAGAATATCAAAGAAAATGAAGCTGCATTTCAGAGGGATGAGAAATTAAAATCAGTATGGCAAAACATCAAAAGACTAAAAAATTATAAAGCTGAAATTTTCAAAGTACAAAAGTAAAGCTAGGGAAGAATGAAGAACAGAAACAAAAAGCAATGAAAACCACTTACTTCTTTAAAACTACATAAATAAAACCAAGCCTCCACAGAGGCCTTCAAAAGCAGAGGGCAGAGCGATTTAACAAAAACTGTCTTATTCATGAAAATCTAGCCATAGACTCAGAGAATAACCCACTGCCGTCGCCCTAATTCTTCTGCTGCTCACAGTCTCTAAACTCCTGCTACAACATGCAGGAATTAACAATATGGCAAAACATATTATAGAAAGAAAAGAAGGAGACTTTCTTTGATTTGTGTTAACAGTCTTTAGGAGGAGGAGAATTTTATTTGCCTTGCTCCCATTTCTTGACATATAAATCTATTTCTCAAAGTGTCCATCTTTCTGTTTTCCCCTACAGTGAGAACGCTAAGAATTCCTTGGAGAGCAGCCTACGGCAACTAAAATGCCATTTCACCTGGAACTTGATGGAGGGAGAAAATTCCTTGGATGATTTTGAAGACAAAGTATTTTACCGGACTGAGTTTCAGAATCGTGAATTCAAAGCCACAATGTGCAACCTACTGGCCTATCTAAAGCACCTCAAAGGCCAAAACGAGGAAGCCCTGGAATGCTTATGTAAAGCTGAAGAGTTAATCCAGCAAGAGCATGCTGACCAAGCAGAAATCAGAAGTCTAGTCACCTGGGGAAACTATGCCTGGGTCTACTATCACTTGGGCCGACTCTCAGACGCTCAGATTTATGTAGACAAGGTGAAGCACATCTGTGAGAAGTTTTCCAGTCCCTACAGAATTGAGAGTCCAGAGCTTGACTGTGAGGAAGGGTGGACACGGTTAAAGTGTGGAGGAAACCAAAATGAAAGAGCGAAGGTATGCTTTGAGAAGGCTCTGGAAAAGAAACCAAAGAACCCAGAATTCACCTCTGGACTGGCAATAGCAAGCTACCGTCTGGACAACTGGCCACCATCTCAGAACGCCATTGACCCTCTGAGGCAAGCCATTCGGCTGAATCCTGACAACCAGTACCTTAAAGTCCTCCTGGCTCTGAAGCTTCATAAGATGCGTGAAGAAGGCGAAGAGGAAGGTGAAGGAGAGAAATTAGTTCAAGAAGCCTTGGAGAAAGCCCCAGGTGTAACAGATGTACTTCGCAGTGCAGCAAAGTTTTATCGAAGAAAAGATGAGCCAGACAAAGCTATTGAACTGCTTAAAAAGGCTTTAGAATATCTACCGAACAATGCCTACCTGCATTGCCAAATTGGGTGTTGCTATAGGGCAAAAGTCCTCCAAGTAATGAATCTAAGAGAGAATGGAATATATGGGAAAAGAAAGTTACTGGAACTAATAGGACACGCTGTGGCTCATCTGAAGAAAGCTGATGAGGCCAATGATAATCTCTTCCGTGTCTGTTCCATTCTTGCCAGCCTCCATGCTCTAGCAGATCAGTATGAAGAAGCAGAGTATTACTTCCAAAAGGAATTCAGTAAAGAGCTTACTCCTGTAGCAAAACAACTGCTCCATCTGCGGTATGGCAACTTTCAGCTGTATCAAATGAAGTGTGAAGACAAGGCCATCCACCACTTTATAGAGGGAGTAAAAATAAACCAGAAATCAAGGGAGAAAGAAAAGATGAAAGACAAACTGCAAAAAATTGCCAAAATGCGACTTTCTAAAAATGGAGCAGATTCTGAGGCTTTGCATGTCTTGGCATTCCTTCAGGAGCTGAATAAAAAAATGCAACAAGCAGATGAAGACTCTGAGAGGGGTTTGGAGTCTGGAAGCCTCATCCCTTCAGCATCAAGCTGGAATGGGGAATGAAGAATAGAGATGTGGTGCCCACTAGGCTACTGCTGAAAGGGAGCTGAAATTCCTCCACCAAGTTGGTATTCAAAATATGTAATGACTGGTATGGCAAAAGATTGGACTAAGACACTGGCCATACCACTGGACAGGACTATGTTAATTGCTGGGTCTTCAGAAAGCCCAAGGAGTTCTGGGAGAGGGACCAGATTGGGGGGTAGGTCCAAGGGCTTGGTGATAGAATTATTTCTCAATTGACTTCTTGAGTGCAGTTTGAACTGTAACATTTGCTTAGTCACCTTTAGTGGAGTAGTCCACTGGGCTTGTTTCTATGTTTATATAAAGCAGCCAAATCCTTCATGTAATATTGAAGTCCATTTTTGCAATGTTGTTCCGCATTTGGAGCCATTTTGCATCCCATAGAGGTTAGTCCTGCATAGCCAGTAATGTGCTCAGTTCATCCAAAAGCTGGGGGCCAAAGTCTAAATAGGGCTCGGTATCCCCCATCTCTTACCTCTGCCTCCTTCCTCCTCCTTCCCAGCCTATCATCAATCTTGAGTATTCTACACAACGTGAATTCAAGTGCCTGATTAATTGAGGTGGCAACATAGTTGAGAAGAGAGCAGAGAACAGGAAGAGACATAGCTAGAAGCAATGGGTGCAAAAAGCAATGTGTACAAGACTTTCAGCAAGCATAGAGAGAGTTCACCTCTACTCTGCCCTCCTCATAGTCATAATGTAACATGTAAAGAATGAAAATGGATTCTGTACAATACGCTAAAAACCAACATAATGTCTTTCTTTAAAACCTGTGTGGAAAAAATAAATGTTCCATCTATAGGGATAGGGAAAAAGTAACCAAAAGAGAGAAAGAGAAGGGAATGCTGGTTTATCTTTGTAGATTGTAATCAAATGGAGAAATTTTCAATATTTTAGCCATTGTTAGGAATTTTTTTTTGGTAAAAGGAAGACTGACTTTGTTCAAATGCTTTCATGAACCTGGTTTGAGATGATAGGAAAGCAACAAAATGGGGAACCTGGTGACTAAGGGCCTGGTGCAAGGTCTTGGGAAATGTCATTGACAATAGATGGTGGGGTTTTCCCCCCTTTAGAAATGTTGGATATTAAGTGATATAAACACTTCTAACTCTGAAAATCTTCTGAGAAATCCCCAAATTCATGGTATTCTTGGACAACTGGGATTTTCTAGGAAGATACTGAATGGCCTAGACATCAAAGTTGGTGTGAACCAAAATAGAGTCAGCTGACCCAGCATGAGACCATCAGTCATGCTCTGGGTTGGAAAATGTTTGCCTGTTGGAATTAATTTAAGCTTAAGTATATATCAACATTATTTTATTGTGCAATTAAAACAATAAAAATTCAAGGTTTTTTAAAGTTAAAAATTCTAACCACTCTAACAACAATTTTTGTGTTATTTTCTGTATTAAAAATCTTGGTGCATGCATTTGAGGTCATCAGGATGCAAAATTTGTATTCCTGAAAATGCCATATATTTTCATTAATAAATAGCCTAAATATGATAAAACATAAAGCAGTGTTCTGATTCATCTGGAATTTTGCTGTACTTTAAACCTTTCAGACTCAGCTACTGATAAATGAAATGTTACACAAGTATGAACCAAATCCAAATAACCTAGGCTGGTCTACTATCATAATCACCTGAACAGAACAAAACTTTTTCCTCAGCTTTAAGAGTCCAGGGCTTCGGATAACAGCTGCCTTCTGCCACCTGCTACCATTGACCTACATGAACACAGACATTCTGTCTCCACCTTGATGGTGGGTGGGCTACTGCCCTTTTCTTTGTTAAATTTTGTGCTTTTATCACATTTTCTCTATTCTGACCTCTATTATGAGAAATAAATGTCACTGATTCCATTTTATGCCCCATCCTGGACTCAATCCAAATGCGTGTTAGAGAGTCTTCCCTATTAAGTAAAGAATAGGAAGAGACAAGAAATCTCCGTTATTTTTCAAGAGGCCTCTAATGGAAAATGCAAATCATGCCAACTGCAAAGGTAAACTCATTTCACTGGATCAAAATGGACAAGTGTATGTTTCAGGGGTAGATCTAGCTCACCTTGCCTGAGTAAATTAAGACTACATCTGGTTCCTGGGAAGGAACACCACACATATTCTGAGTGGAAGGTTAAAATGGAAAGGCATGCCGACCTTGAGAGAGGACCATTGGTACCTGTGTGTACTAAAGACAGATGTATGTAATCTTGTCCTTGCACGTCATGCCACCAGTCCCTTGCTGGAACAGGACCCTTAGTGGGAAAACAGAAAGAAAGGTAGGAAAGGGAAACATAACATCTTACACTTAATATTTATTTGGGGACTTAAAGTTAACAAATGATTGGAAAACAATAAAGAAAATTATGTACATAGCTCCTGTTTCCTGAAATTTCACCATCCAGGAATAACAAATGGAGTCACATTAATTGGGCTTGACTTGTAATTCCCTGCCTTTTAACCACATTTCCCAGGGCAGGACATTTGACTCCCTCCATATATTCACCCAACACAGCAAGCCCCTAGTAGATGTCTCCTACGTGCTGATGAACATGTCTATCAGAGTTATCTGATCACATTTGCTACTTGTGTAGCTTCAACACCCATATCCATCAATGACCATTGCCCCTAAAACTGCCTTCAATACATTTCACATTCTCCGTATTTGATTGCCACCTTAATATCTCTGCCAACAATGTTTTCAAGTGTGTTAGTGTCAGTGAAAGAGTGAGAAGAATTCCTCTTTTCTCTGTGTTGCTTCCAAGTAGTTGTTATTTATTTCTCTGCCTCAGAGTCCTCAGTGAAAAAGATTCATTGACTTCTGCTTGTCTTTCTCCACAGAGCTCAGACACAGTCCCTGGGGACAGCTGACCTTGAGTCATGCTGCAATTTCACCTTCCTTCATCCCCTATGTCAACTGACACATCAAATACAACTGGATCCAGTGCAACTGGAAGACTGCATGTATTAGAATCCTGATTATAACACAGGTAGGCCTTGTGTTAGGATCCCTACCATACATGCAATCAACCTTGGATGCCAATCTGAGGGTTGTAGTTTCCAACCTGAGATCATACATGCCCATTTCCTCGTTTCCTCCATTTCCCCCATCGCTGATTTTGGAAAAGGGACTAACTTAGACTAATATGTAAGAAATTTTCCCCATGATTAATAGTGCAGCTATCTCATTGCTGATTATCTACACCTTCTAGGGAGGCTGCAAAGAGGGAAACCGACTAAAATCCTTAGATGTACCTAGGTGCATGCGCTTGTAAGACAGACATTCTCAGCTCTACATGGGGCCTCCCTTCAGCTGCTTTACATACAGGACTTAAGACTAGAGAAGAGACCAGAGGCAGGATTTGTTGGAAGCCTGTGGAAACAAATCCCAAACAGTTCTTCTCCTCTGGTTCTCTGCAGGCTGCTATTGAAAAGGAGGCTACCAAACAGGTAAATGATACATATTGACCCCAGAGCCTTGATTTATGTCTCGTTTGTTTGGAAACATAATGAGTCAAAGTTTGTGTTATTTCTGAATTGGGTAACATGTAAAAATATGTAGTAAATTCTGCCCTGAACCTGGAAATTTCTGAAACCCTTCTAGAGACCTGGAAATTGGCCCCAGTGTGTTTATATATATATAATCTAATTAAAATATTTGAAAAGTCTTTCTTTACCTTTCCAGCATCCTGGATATCCCAAGTCAATGAGCCTATTTATATTCTGCTTTTGATTTACAGATATTACGCAGCAGAGATACTGTGATATAAAACCACTGAGCACACATTTTCCTTTCTCATTTTTAAATTAAACTTACTAATTTGTCATCAAGCACTACATTTAAAAACTCAAACCTGGCCAGGCACAGTGGCTGAAGCCTAAAATACCAGCACTTTGGGAGGCCGAGGAGGGAGGATCACCTGAGGCCAGGAGTTCCAGACCAGACTGACAAATATGGTGAAACCCCGTCTCTACTAAAAAAAAAATACAAAAAAAAAAAAAAAAATTAACCGGGCGTGGTGGCGTGTGCCTGTAATTCCAGCTACTCAGGAGGTTGAGGTGGGAGAATCTCATGAACCTGGGAGGTGGTAGTTGCAGTGAGATGGTGCCACTGCACTTGGTGACAGAGGGAGAACCTGTCTCAAAAAAAAAAAAAAAAAAAAAAAAAACTCAAACCTACTTGTACATTTTTTGCATTTAGTGAAAAAGCCTACATAAGTTGGAGCCTTAAAATATATGTATAAAACTATGTAATATATCTTCTAATTGTTGATTAAGAAAAACTAGAGTTTACTAGAATATTTTAAAATATGGAAACATTTTAAATAATGAGTAAGGCTTTTAGGTCATGGAAAAGAGTTGATTTGTCTAGGTGTTAAAAAGGAAATTATTATTTCCACTAGCAATGTATGAGAAATATTATTTCCAACATCTTCACCAATACTGAATATTACCAGTCTTTAATTTTTGTCAATCTGATGAGTGCATGCATATATTTACAAAAAAGATGCTGGCATATAGATCACAGATAAATAAAATGTTCAAGTGTGGAATCTGTATGACGGAAATCCTCTTCAAACCCAGAATGCTAGTTTTCTCTCCTCTCTCTCTCTCCCCCCGCCACTTCTCTCTTCCTTTTGCTCTCTTTCTTTCTCACTTTCATCTTCCCTTTATGTCTTCTTCCTTCAAGTTTCTCTTTCTAGAGATGACTTTGAGTCTCTGTGCATGAAGTGGAAAACATCCCTACCAGTTTACTTATCTCTTCTCCTAATAATTCAGCAGAGGCCAGGTGCAGTGGTTCACACCTGTAATTGCCACACTTTGGGAGGCGGAGGTGAGCTGATTGTTTGAGCCCAGGAGTTCGAGATCAGCCTGGACAGCATGGTGAAACCCTATCTCTACAAAAAATACAAAACTTAGCTGGGCTTGGTGGCATGCACCTGTAGTCCCATCTACTTGGGATGTTGAGGTAGGAGGGTCGCTTGAGCCCAGGAGGTGGGGGCTTCAGTGAGCTGAGATCATGTCACTGCACTCCAGCCTAGGCAACACAGTGGGATGAGACCCTGTCTCAAAAAATAAATAACAATAATTCAATAATGACTTTCTAGAATCACTTTCTTCTGATCAAAATTCCAAAGAAAAATCTGTTTGTCTCATTTCAAGTCAATATCCATTACCAATAGAATCCAGTTGACCAAGAGAATGAGACCGTAAGCCAGACAAAGCAAGAGCTTTGAGTGCAGGCTTTCTGCAGGAATGAGAGCAAATTATCCAAGAAGGAGACATAAGAGGAGAGAGGAAATGACTGGCAGAGGACATGGCTTGCATACCTAGAATACACTCTAGTTTTCCATCACACGAGCACAAAATTTTGTGTGTAGTCCAGCGCTGTCTTACATGTTATTACCTGTAGAATATCTAGAATTCTAACTCTTCCAGTATTTCTCAAACTTTAATGTGCAGTGCCCACTTTCATGTGCACAATCACCTGAGGATCTTGTTAAAATGTAGACTATGATTTAGTAGATCTGGGTGGAGCCTGAGACTCTATATTTCTCTCAAGCTCTCAGGTCAAATCAATGCCAGTAGTCTGTAAACTACACCTTGAATAGCAGAGATATAGACTGAACTGCAACCAATTCAATCTGGTTCCATTTTTCAGCACATCCTTTAGTCAGAAATGAAGATGAATCATACCAGCACATTGTCCTTCCTACAGCCTTCTCTCTCTTTCAGTAACTCATCTCTTAAGAGCTCAGATAAGAAAATCTGTATTACCTCGAAAATAAGTATGTTTAATGTAAAATGGTGTAGCCACTTTAGAAAATAGTTGGGCAGTTCTTCAAATGGTTAAACATAGTTACCATATGACCCAGCAATTCCATTCCTAGATACGTATGTAAGAAAAAGGAAAACATGAAAACATGTTCACACAAAACTTATGCATGAATGTTCATAGCTGTATTCATAGTTGCATTATTCATGATGGCCAAAAGGTGGACCCATCAACTGATGAAGTGATAAATGAAATATGGTATATACACATAATGGAATATTATTTGGAAACAAAAATAAATGAAGTAATTACTGATACATGATACAACACAGATGAACCTTGAAAACATGCAAAATGACAAAAGGCAATTTAAAAAGGTCACATATTGTATGATTCTGTTTATATGAAATGCTCAA